TGGCCCGGGCGCCCCCGGGCGGCGGCGGGGCCCCCGGGAAGGGGCAGCGGCCGCTGTGTTCTCGTCCAGAGGGAAACGGGCGGGTGGGGACTGAAGTATTGGCTGCCTTAATTTGAACCAGCAACCTTTTCTTCCATTTGCAGCTGCCGATGAATAAAACTTCAGAAACCTTTGGTGTTATTATCAAGCATACGTGCATCTATGTCACGAGTAATTATACGAGCAGGGAACTTATTAAGCCTGCTTGCCTGTAACTGCTTTGCATGTGCATTCCCTGCTGCCTAATAATGGGGTAGAGCACACCTGAACCCTTCCTCTCAGTAAGGCAGTCACCTCTGAGTAGCTCCTTTAGACAGCCATCAGTTCTCATTAAACAGTGGCGATTTAGTGTTTCAGAGATACCTATCCCTCAGTTAAATCTGGCTGAAAATAACTGGTGAGTTTAAAAGTTACTACATAGGGAATGACAGGCAGTATAGTAACATATACCCCGTTTCCCCATAATGAAAAAGATGCAAATCAAAATGCTGGAATTCATAATTTCTTGTTATTCTTTTAATATCCCCAAATTATCACTGTAGTCAGAGCATTGATTGCCCCTAATCTGGGACTAATGTCAAGCCTAAAATGCCAGACTCTACAGAGAAATAAAGACTTGCAGTAGACAAATAGATTTTTCTCTTTGTAGTTCAAAAGAAATGCAAACCTAAGTGAACAGATGGGTATTTGGTAGGTTTGTTTGAAGAGATTCTTTAAATCTACGGAACCGCGTAACACAGCAATTACACTTCTTCGGAGATTCAATATTTACAAAGAAAGGTCACTAATAATTGGTTAGACTAAATATATATTTAGAGTATTTGCAAATTTAACTAGTTATTGAAGGTAGAAGACCATAGCTGTTTTATTGCATAGTGCTAACTTCCATTTTTCCCTTAAGAGAAATTTGTTCAACCTCTGAAATCCATATTTGATTCACAAGCCAGTAGTTACTTGAGCATTCAACACTCTTCAGCATGCAAATGTATACAGCAAAATTCAGTATTATCGAAAGCAGTGGGAAATCAGTGGGAATTTTGCCATTGCCTCCCAGGGTAACCAATTTTTAAAACAAAATTCTGAATAAAAACTGTTCAGTATTTAAAGCATGAGCTTATCAACACATGGATAAACATCAGTGGAAATGGGCATTATTTTGGATAGATTGGCCCATAACTTCTGTCACAGCTTTTTGAAGTCTGTTCAGACCAATTCCCATTGACTTCAATGGCCTTACATAAATAAGAACTTGCCTGATTATGTCCTCATTATTCATTCCAAATGCTGCCGCTGCTCAACTTTTAGAGCTAGAATTATGCAGGGAAATAAGTCCAACAGTTAAAGAAACAATTGACTGAAGGGTGCGAATGTTCTTTTGAGGATTAAACTGCTTTCTTCCCCCCTCCCCAGATTCTGAAAACACTGCGACTACCGTCACGGCTCTGTTGGCCAGTCTGAACAGTTGCTGTAACCCGTGGATCTACATGTTCTTCAGCGGGCACCTCCTGCAAGACTGCATACAGAGCTTCCCTTGCTGCCAAAAAATAAAGCAAACCCTGAGTAAAGAAGATTCAAACAGCAACAGCAGGCGACAGACTTCTTTTACCAACAACAGAAGCCCAACCCACAGCTTGAACACCTGGAGAGAGTCGCCCCACTCCAAATCGACCAGCTTCATCCCCATTCCAACCTGAGACAGGCCCCGGGGCGGGCAGGGCTTGCAGCCCCCTAACAGCGCTGGGGAAGGTTACGGCACAGCACTTCATGCTGGTCGAAGGCACCAGTCATTGTAACAAGGAATGACTAAGATGGCCATAAGACCAAACGTGCCACATTGCTTGATAAGCTATTCTGCAGCATGTAAATTATTTTCTGAAAGGTATTTAGGACTTGGGCTACTGATCGGGAAGGCGTGACAACAATAAAGCAATTATTTTTCTAAATAGAATTTATTATTTTAATTTTTTTTGTTTCTAAAATACTAAGTGCATTGTTTGCTTGTTGTTCAAAACAGTAAAAGTAGTGGAGTTGGCATGTGTTGGGGTAACCGCTCTCTAGTGCCAACGCCTAAAACTTCTCATGATTGTCCAATTAAGTCACAGGGAAAGAAGATGATATGAGCAAGATCACAATTTAGTCTTACACACCAAAAGAAAAGAGTTGGGAGAGAGTCCTGACTGTCCAGATAAGGAACATGGTTGGACAGGCTCTGAGTTATTGGGAATTTAACTGATCACACTGCTTTATCTTGGAAGGGTCCAGCAAGGTCAGTGCTGTCGATGCTCTATGTGTATTGTGGAGTTTCATTTTTAGGGTGACATTTCCTCTTCCCTTCATGTTGATGGAAGTTATACAGCATATTTTTTTTTTGGTGTTGTTGCACCTACCTTGATTTTTTAAGCTAATTTAAAAAAATACATTGATAAATAAGTATGATAAGCTATGACTAGCTCAGCACTTACAAACAGATACACCAAGAAAACTCATCATGACTACCAGGACCACTTGCTCTATGGGTAAGAATTGCATCTTTTCTTTTTAATTCACTAAGACATCTAGGATCAAGCCAAGGTTGTCAAGCAAATAGCCCCATAAATTCAGGACAATGTGGCCATTTGGTAAGAGCTGAAGAATCAGTATATTCCAAGACACAGATCTGAGACTCAAAAGTCTTCTGGGAATATATAAAAATTGTCAGTGTTGTTGGTTTGGGTTATTTTTGGCAGATCATGACAATATAGTCTTCGAAATTGGCAGTAAACTGCAATAAAAAGTCATCACAGCACATTTACTAATTATAACGCATTCAAGGTGTGCTTGTTTTCACTGCAATGCATGCCAAGTCAAATGTAGTTCCTACAGCTTGTAAATAATCCTGTTCTGTCTTTCCATGGAGTCTGTCCAGGAGATTGGGTTTTGAAGCTCCTTGAGTAAGTTTTGCTCTGGTTCTAAAGTCCCGAGGATCTCTCTGAGAAGCACAGCAACCTGTCTGCTCCATTTTCCTGAGCCCTCCAGGTCCTGAAATCCAGGCGTTCTCCTGGCACTGTGCAGGACTTCTGATGCAGTCCCCACTGGCTTGCTAAACCGGTGGGACATGTGCACGGCTGTCTAACATGCACACTTATGTTTGAAAGGAGGACCCTCAGCAGCAGGTTTCTCTCTTTCCCACCAAAACCAGGCAAACAAGACTGCTTTTCTAATTGCTTGAGGAGAGAAAAAAATGGGACCGCAACTGTGGCTCTCACGGAGGATGGTGCTGGCTCCATGCCTGTCGCAATAACGGTAGCAGAAATTAATAGAGCTAGATGCAAGATAAGATCATATTCAGCCTGTTGTCCACTCCAGAAGCTCCCAGACATCTCACTGACTATTCCGGACAAAGAATAGGGAAGATTATAGCTAAAAAAAAAAAAAAAATTCAATTTTGTTTTCACTAAAGAAAATCTTAGCTCTTCTTTCTGCATTTCTTGTTATCATTTTCTGCTCTACAGGAGAGCAGTCTGGTCTAATGTTTTGTTGTTGTTGTTCAAAACACTAGAACCCAAAGGACAGCATGGTGGAAAGGCTTATATTTAACAGACTATCTTTTTGACCACCTTTAGTACACAGATGTGACTACAGCTCTCACCAGTTCTGGGTGAAGGTTTGTGAACCTGAAGTTATATTTTAGTCCCAAAAAATGCATGCAGTGGCGTTGGGTGTGTGTGTATTTGTGCACATTATATGTACTGCATATATTTCGCAAGTAGGTAATTCACAGCTACTGAAATTGCAAATGTTTCAAGTTAAGTACACTGTCCTTTGCCTAGTTTTCTATTTGTGTTACTACTTTCTTTGTACATAAAATATATATTAAAAAGCAATTAGCTGTGATAACAGAATTTTCATGTTTGCAGAATTGCATTATTTTTCTGTTACACTTTATATTCAAACAGAGAAGACGACGAGAAAACAAATGTAGAATAATGATGGTAATAAAACTAAGCTGGGTAATGACCAATATATAAAAAAAAGTAAACAGACTCAAAATCATAATTTTCAGCTTCTTCCAAATATGTTGCAAAATCTAGGCTTACACTTGGGGCTTGTCAGCATAAATGTACCCTGTGAGTGTTCTACAGTTTCTGTAATTAAATTGACAACACTATTTAGCAGGCTTTGGATTCCAGGCATTTTTTGTAAATACAGAGTTTTGTTTTTTACATAATTGTAACATTGGAAGATACAGCCCATATTTTTTAATTGTTCATCTGTGGAGATGCGGGGTTTTTTTAACAGCTGCTTTGGTTTATCATGAGAGCACACTAATGAAAACAGAAGGAAACAAGAAATTGTGAAATCATTGCACATTTAAAACATGGAACCATGCTCTAATAAACCTATATATTTGTTTGATGAGAAGCATTTTGTTTCTTTTGCTTGACTAGATTTTGCAGGGCCAGAAACATATTTGGTGATACTCCATATATTTTACAGAATGTAAAATTTCATCATTAATTTTAATGAGTTGTTTCAATGAAAATCTTTAAGGAGTGAACAAAACTAACATGTTTTTCTGTTACATGTAGTGCATGAAGGACGTGTGCCAAGAAGGAACATGCACTCAGCTTTCCGCTATATGCTGCTCATATTGTTAAAACATGTAACATAGCACTTATTGACATTCTAGAGGGGTTATTTTGATATTTTTGTTTTAATTTGGGGGAACAAAATATTTAGCTTCTGATGTAAAACGTGATTGAATGGATGAGCCTGCACTCTGTTGTTTGTGCTGGTGTGACTAGAATTGCAGCATTTTAAAGACAATCAGATAGCAAAGTGGAGCACATAAGGTGATACTAGAAAATGGAAAGGATTTTGTTCGTTTAAATAAGAAACATAAGTTGCCAAAAAGCTTTTTTTCATTCATTTATTTTTAAATTTGTAGGTAAACATATTGTTGGCTCAGAAAAAAGAAGGGTTTTTCTTCTATATTACCACATCAAGACCAAAGTCTACAGGAAGACACAAGTTCATGTGTGCCCAATCCTGCAAAGAGAAAGGTTTTGTCTGCAGCAAATCTTATGCCCATTTCCAAATTGTCCAGATTGGAGGACCTTATTAAAGTGTCCGCATGCTCCTTTCCAATTCATGCATACGGAAACCAGGGCAGGAGGAAAGGAGCTGCACAGTTGGATGTCATCCCAGTGCATGTACTGGTGACCAGTTTTGGGAAGTGAACCCAGATCTTACAGTAGAGCTATTGCTGAAATACAGAGTTATTTGCTGCATAGGGGAAACTCTTACAGAGTTGTCCTAGACTGAGTTCCCCACCTACAGAAAGGACTAATTAAATACAATGTCCTCTTCTAAAAAGCGTCTGCATGAGTTTCAGTTGTACAGTCCCTTCTGTACAGGATATTGGAAGACTGGGGAGGCAGAAAGGACTTAATGTGCTTAAACACCAGTTTGGAGCTTTAGTTCTTGTTATAAGACAGTTTTCTGTGTTTTTCTTTAGGAGTGGGCTTTGCTGGAAAATGTAGCACTTGCTACTTGGGTAAAGGTATATAAACAAACAGGTTTCAAGGTCCAGGAATAGATCACAGCTGCTCCACAGGGAGCAGTCCTGGCTGGTTCAGGTAACAGTCCCTCACACAAGAGCAGGTCCAACTAGTCTTGAAAAAGGCAGGGAACTGTCGAAGGTAACGTAAGTCACGCAGAATGGTTTGTGCAGGTATGTAAAAAGAAGCAAACAGCAATCACGACTAGTCCCTGCTGAGCTTCGTTAGAACCAGCCAGCATGGGTCTGCCTCTCCCAGGACTAGTCCTGCAGAAAGTCCTGGATAGGTACTGTATTAATGGATTAATACTGTATTGCTGTTTTGGTACAACTGCTCAGTAATTTGCCATGTCTTAGTATAAACTTGCTTGGAGTAACAGTTTACATGCAAATTAGCCTTCAGTCTTCATAAGGACATTTTTAGCTGAATTCCTGACACAGTCCATTGGGTCACCCCGTTTCTGAAAAGCAAGGCTGTGAGTCAGCATGGGGAGCACAAAACTTTCTTCCCAGCTGTATGATGAGGAGACGGGCAAGACTCTCTAGTTACGGGTGGACCAAGATGTTGTTGGGTACAGGTGGTCTTTCTTCTAATCAGAGAAGATTAGAAGAATCTTTTGCACATTTCCAATATTTTGCATATTTCCAGCCATTGCCCATTTCCAATATTTTTTTTCCAGGGGCGGGGGGGTGGTGGTGGTGGGATGGGAGGATTAGGGATGTTGCACTTTCTCAGTGCTCTGCAAGCAAGGGATCATTTTCAGAAAAATTTTTCTGGATCAGTGGAAGGACATCTACAAATTTCCTGCCTCTTCATATGCTTAGTTTTTTTTCCTTTTACTGATGAAGCAAATGCAAGAGTGCCTTCCCTTCGACTTCATGCCAAATTAAGTCATTCCCAAGACCAGTTTTGAACCACTGTGGTTCATTCTGGGTTTCTGTAAGGTGCTAAAACTATTAACGATTGCATAAGCAGGAATTAAGATTTCATGCTCTCTGACTGCAGAAATAAGGACTACCATTTCATGACTGTCTATTGCTAAGTTGATTGTGCTCCTACTCTGCAATAGGACAAAGTGCTATTGAAATCACCGTCCTCCTTCCATGGCAGTATTTTATATACTTAGGACTATAACATTTTATTTTTCCGGCTCA